AAGTCTGTAGTTCAGAATTTGAGATATATAATTTTTTTTACACATGTGAAACTGAGTATCATTTCATTTCAAACCTTGCCTAAATGATATAGATTGCAGGTACTTGTTTATATGTATGTATATGCAAAGAAATATGTTCAATACCTTCGCATTCATAAGTCTCATGGCAATTTGTCTATCCTTAAAGCATTCATCCTACCTATATACATTATACAGCAAAATTCAGTATTTTTTTAATTCCTCCTAAAAAAACTGTTTAATCTCCAATAGTGTAAATATAAAATTTGAGGGGAAATATATGAAAATGTCAGAACTGTTATTTTTATTTTCTTATTTCTGTTCTTTTTCAACCTTGGCAATAGCACATATAGTTGTTTATAATCATTATAAAGGAGTGATAATTTTTAATTCACATATTTGACAATTTATAATTTGCAGCTATATCTACTATTGCAGTCTTTTTCTTTTCCCTTAATTTAATATATCTTCATTTTTTTTTTTGTTTAACATGTCTGATAAATAGACTTTGGATTATAATTGATAAAGAATAAAAGAACAATTTTAAATACGAATCTAAAGTAAAAGTAATAGAACCTACAACTAGAAAATTGCTTATGAGTGAACAGTTTAAATGTGAAATTACATACTTTAAATATTTGATGCACCCAAAATAGATCTCAGGAGAGTCCTAGTAAAGATGGCGATCAGTATCATTGAGTTAGCATTGAATAAAAATCAAAGAGATGCTAAAGTTTATAAATCTGGTAGTACATGCAGGCTGAAAAAGTAAGTATACATGAATTTTTTTTTAAGATTTATTTTTATTTTTATACAAGAACCAGGGTACAGGCCAGATGTGCAGGAGGGTGAGAGGATTCACCTGAGACAGAGCAGGGAACAGAACAGGCAGACCGACCGAAATACACTGCTGAGGGCAGCAGAGGGCGAGATAGGAGAGGTCTGCCCCGCCATGTGGATATCTCCGCGGGGATCTAACCGGAACTGCAGAGGCTGTGGACAGCTTCACAGCACTGTGCTCAACTGCGTGAGCCACCAGGGAGGCCCTACATGAAATGTTTGTGTTCGTTTTCCAGAAGACAGAAGAAACAAAAACATTTTGTTAGAAATATGCTTATAAGCGAAATTATAGGTGGTTAATTCTTACTGGCCATTGCAGACTGAAGGAGATATAATGTTTGCTTACATCCAGACTGTGTGATTTTGCTGAGGGTTGCTGCATGCTTGGAGCAGCATAACTGCTTTTATGCTATCAGTGAGGCAGTAAGTGGGGGCAGCTTGGGAAAGCCCCAGCTTCACGAGGCCAGTTGAAGTGGTAAAGGGAGAGAAAGAACACAAGCAGAGTGCAGGACAGTCTGGCTGATGGGGTGGGTTTCCACGTTGGCTTTACCATATAAGCAAGGGCTTGGCCAAAGCACATCCTTTCTGAGTCTCAATGCCCCCAACAATTTAGCAAAAATAATATCTACCCAGTAGAGCTCTCATGAGGTCTAGTAAAACACCTGGCGTCCCCCAAACATAGCAGCTTCTTTTATAATTTAGTTACTTTTCCTGTGAAAGAAAATGTGGAGTCAGCCCCTCCTCAGCTGAAGACATGGGGTAACCTCACAGGCATGTATCCAGCCTGAGCAAATCGTGGGACTGCGATACTTGGTCCTCTGTTTCTTATTTTCTATAATTAAAAAAAAATAAAAGAGTAGTAGGTTGAAATTGGTTTTTTTAATAAATAATATCATTTGCCATACTCCCAGGTTTCCCTCATGATCTAAGTGATAAACAAAGGGAAATATCAAAGAATTTTCTACAGCAAAGCACCAAGAAAAATAGAAATTTCCCCTTATGTAGATTTTGCTTTCCAAACAGTCAAATATATCTTAAGAAACTTAACAATGAAGAGGGGGAAAGTGATTCTGAAGTATGGTTTAAAAAGAAATAAACTGAAATAATTGCTGGAGGATGTCAGGATGTGATAAGCATGACATGGAAATACAAAACTCAATGTAATCTAAATCCACTTATATGCTTGAGTGTATACTTAGTATCACTTCATTTTTGCTAACTTCTTCATGCTTCAAATAATAGAATAAGACTGACCCTTCAGTATGCTTACATTTGAAAAATTGAGCTTGAATTCTGGATAATTATTGGGTGTGTATTTCTTACAATGTTTTAAACCACTAACTGCAAAAAAGGCAAAAATCTGCACAGTTGTGTTATTATCAGCCCTGCAGAGTTGCTGATAAGCAAAATTGTATCTTTCATGAATTGCCAAATCAATTACCAACCAGATTCTGAATTCTAGAAGCATTATGCCACAAGATAAATGGAGTAGTCAGAAATAACACAGCTTGATTTGAAGATAGCAGGTGGAGGTGGCTATCCGATCTGGTGGAAAGCGTGTTTTGATATATGAGTGTCTTTGCTTGATCTGGCAGTGATTTTAGACATTCTCTGCAGCCGTGGAGCTATTATTGTGGCAGACCTTCCTGTTATGTTCTCAGACTGTACCAAACTTGTAAAACAGCGAGGTTCATGGGGTAATATCTCGAAAGCCAAAAGGCTATAAAGAAAAAGTTGCTAGCAGGCACTAACACGGGTATCATGACTCTTTTCAGGTAGTAGGTGTAACCTTGAAGAAAAAGTGGCACTGTCTTCAAAAAAGTGACCTGACCCTGGCTTTGGTGGGTTTTTCTGCAAGAAATAAAAAGCACCGCATGTGTTTATTATACATCCTTTCTAGCTGATCACTGCTTTATTCTAGAGTTCAGCATGAAAGGACTAATTTTTGTTTTGTTTTTATTTTTGTTTTAGTGAAATGGCATGTCCGTTGCTAATTTCTAGCTACTCTAGTTGCACATGTGAAAAATATCTATCTGTAGTTTATGGATTGGTAGCATTTCAAATAAATGGTATTTTGAAATATTCACTTGAAATTTTTTTGAGATGCTTATCAATTGACATTTTTTTTCTTAGCCCAAGAAAAGAGTGAATTGTTTTTTTTTTTAATTATACCTTGTAACATTAGATTTGTTCTTTTAAATATGTTAGGAATTTAAATATAAGCATGCCACTTTGTTTATTGCTATATTATTGGAACTTCTTGGAGCATGGAAAGAATTCTTCACAAACTATTTTGCTCTTTTGAAAAACGCAAACTGCAAAGGTATTTATTTGTTAAACCATATTTAGTCTGTAAATGAGTGTAGCTTATAAAGGTATAGTAAGTTTATACTATGTGATGTTTCATCCAAATAATTTTTATATTTTGAAAAAGTTAAATAGTTTAATAGAGTCATAATAAATATTTTTCTAGAATTCAGAATTGCATCATCTCTAATTTAGGAAGTTCACATTGCTTCATTAAAGAAAAAAACCTGGGATCATTATACACCCCAATTTGTTATGCAGCAAATCATTGTTTCACTTTATTCTTCCAGAAGTCAGTTACTTTAAGGATTGTGGCGATATAATCTTTCCAGAACACATATGAACACTACAACTGTTACAATTGATGAGTCAAATCTCTAGTAGTTGATATGCCATCTTGGAAATAACACATTGTCTTCATTAATGCTAATTCTTAAGTCAAAACAAACCAAGGAAACAAACTTTCATTATTGTAAAGAAATACATTTTAAAATCTAAAAACTATTTTAAAAAATTTTTTCTTGGTTGTCATAAATAAACAATGCCACTTGTTACATTATAGAAAGGCAGTAGCTGAGATAATCGACAATGTTTTGCTTCCTAGAGTAAACCTACATTCCAAATACTTAAAACCCTATGTACACCTAAGATAATAATATAATTCTATCCTTTTTTGTTGCATAGAAACTATCATTTTTATTATCCTCTGGAGTTAATATTGACCTTAGCTCTTAATTCCTTTTCAGACAGTGGACCCCCATATGTCCATTTTTATTTCTTTAACTGTTATATCTCTGTGTCCTGTATTTGTATTTTAGGTAGATTTGCAACACAGATATTCATGTGTGCCCTTAGTATAAAATTACTTCCTCCAGGGAGATTCTGCCCAAAGATCTGAGAAAATGGAAGGCTGTTTTCTTTTTTAAGTGTTTAAGATTGTTTAATTTTTACATAGTATGAGATGTTTCCAATTGGGTTGGGTAGGTGACAATTTTTTGTTTTGTTTTGTCCATTATGTCATTCTCTACTCTCGAAAACGATAAAAGTTTGGTAAATCAAAAAGTCAGAAAGCGAGCATACCCCTTACAGCCCATAATTCTGATTGTATGCAACCAAAAATGTAAGGCTAGCTGCATATATTTCAGTGCTTCAGTTATTAATCATCCTTCATTTACATCTGGATTTACTAAAAGACATTTCTAAAACTCTATTAAGATTCTTTGGCCTCAAACATTGGGAGATGCAAATTTTTTTCATCAAGGTTACAATATCTCCACAAAATAATAAACAAGTTGGTGAATTCCTGTGAGGTTAGGCCACTGAAAAAAATTTTGAGATTTTATGACAATTTCTCTTGTTTTTTGTCCCAATCCACTCAAAAATGACAGAAGTCAGTGACCAACCAACAAAAGCCCTCTGTGGGAGACTCTGATCCTGCTCACTGCCCCAGAATCCTCACTGTCATTCAAAGCATTTAGAGATTCTAGAGTGATAATTCATAAATGAAGATAGCAATCCAGTGTTTTTAAATCCATACTTTAAAATTTATGTTGTCATGTAAATTGCCTTAAAATATATGATACATATAAAATACTATGTTAAAATTAAATATAATATGTCAGATGTAAAGGTGAAAAAGTAGCTAAAAGTTCACATTGATCTATTTTCAGATTTTGTGTGTTTTCTCCTCAGCCAAAAGCCTCAAGATTCACTTGCAACAGCCTACCTACCTCTTCATTTATGTTGGACTGCTCTTTAAACATTAGAATATCTTGTAATAAATAATAAGTTAAGATTTCTCCTGACACGAGTCATTGTTGATTTCACTGTTATAGGGAAAAGGCTCTAGGGCGGCAGATAAGGCTGTTGCCATGGTGATGAAGGAGATACCGAGGGAGGAGTCTGCTGAAGAAAAGCCCCTCCTAACTATGACATCACAGGTGGGCAGACCCGTAGGGTTTCTGTAGGAAGCTGACATATGTTAATATATCAGACATTGTGATTTTAACTAGCAAAAAAACAACAAAAAGAAAACATTAACTGGAACCATCTGTTACAAAAGCAATTTCAACAAAACAATTATATAATATAAAATGAAAACCAAAATTGCTAAAAAAGGAAAATTCCATCATTTAGTTATTTATTCATGGATATTAATTTTCATTACTCAACTTCAGTTTTAAAAAAATGTGTGTGCAAGTAAAACATGTTGCTTCCTTATAAAGGAGTCTTGTTAACTACTTTAAGAAATCACAAACTAATGGTACGTTTGAAAAATAACAACAAAAAAATCAAATTCCTATGAATAAATACAAGTTATATTGTATACATATGTCAGTTTACCAGTAGAATATCTAAATTTTCTTCAATGTTAAATATATTTATGTTGTGACTATGCATACTACATATATGTCTATACATATTTATGTGGATAACTAATTTACAGGAATGAGCCAGAAGTCCCTGAGTTCCCATGCAGAAAATGGCATGTATGACCCCTCTTATATTAGCGACCTTGACAACAAAAAATTGTCTATACTATATGCACATGAGGGCCATTTTCGGCATTTATTATAACAAGTATAGAAAAAAAGTTTGCATTTGTATGCAAAGACACGCTGAGACTCTGAAAGCTGTATGTCCTCAGGGATTTTTGAAACACCCTGTAAAATCCACATAAATATGTATAATACTCATCACCACTCTGTGGAAATCAGTTAAATTCTTAAATGAAAAATATTTTTACATGCATTTATCTTATAATTTAGATTAGATTGTTATCTTCAACATTTCATTTTTTTCCGTAATGCAATAGTAAATGCAGTGATTCAGTTCCGATTATATGAACATGTCTAGAATTAGAAAAATGTCCATTTACAGTCCTCGTGAAAGGCATTTACATCAAAACCAAAATTATGACAACTTAATTTTAGAATATCATCATATCACATCCCCAGCTGCTGCCAACATGTGTGGTTTTATTTTATTCTAAACATTATGTTGTAAGTAACAAAAATTATAACAACATATAACATCAAAATCGAATAATAAGAGAAGTGATTAAAGATTCTCAGGACTTAAGGATAAATTTTATATTGTGAGGTTTTTATCCATAAAGAAGAGGCGTTTCTTCTCAATGACATATAGCAATAGTTGGGGAAAAAACTGTTATTTACCAAGCTCACCATTCTTTATTTATTTTACATAGTTACAAGATCCACCATTTTATACTGATCTCCTGCCCTTTGTAGAGGCTATATCCAAAATGTTCAGTCCTCAGATGAATGCTATGGGCAATGAGAACTAGTCGGAGTTCTCAGTTATTGGCAGAGCCATGTATGTCAATAGATAAGAACCACCTGAATTTACAATCAGCAAGTTGTATTATATTTTCGGAGATCACAATTTAGAATACTCTCCAGTCCCCAAAAGTTTTGTTCCCCCAAATGATCCATTGCTATGTGCAATCCAGTAATCCTTTCAAATGTCCAAAATTGCCGTTATAACCTAGTCTTAAATATAAATTTTAATGCAAATTAATATTTTTGACTTTTTAATTTAGAAAAGAAATTGCAGTGATTACTCCTATTCAGAATATTTGTGTGTACCAAGTTCCTCCTTTAATTCCCTGTCTAATGTTGCATTAACTGTTTTTGAGGTACTAGTTGCAATTTTACTGCATGAAGATTATAGAATGCTTTCTTTGATGCATCATATTCTTGTTGCATACTGGCTAGTTTATGAATCAGCAAACAGAGTTCTGATTCATAAAATGTAATGCACCTGTTGTCTTGATAATTTTATGGAATTAATTCAGTGACAGCTGTGATACAATTATTTCTCAGTCAAATGCAGTTTTATTAGTTGATATACTTCTTCCACTATACACAAGTGGCTTCTTCCCTGCTATGCACCAGTGGCGTGCACAAGCCTAAAAGCAGCAGAATGATCTGAAAAAGTGAGTACTTCTCATGGCAACCACAGCATCCAGTCCGTGTACCATACATCTCTACTTGTTATCCTGTGTGAATGTATTAGTGTCTTGAAACATGTTTGTCCCAGTGTCTTCTGTAAAGCCCCTTATGACATAGTGCTACATCGACTCATCTTCATCACTGGTATGTCAATGCCAGCTGCTCATTCACAGATGCCAAATACGTTTGAAGTTAATTGCTACTCTCTCAATAATGTCTTTGGAACAATCAGAACTAATAAAGTACAGAATAAGCCCTTGTACCACGGAGTCCATAACTTGTTTAGTAACTGTTCATTCAACAGACTGTAAATGTAGAATAGTTTATATTCAAGCATTGTTTGTACTATATAATTATTATATCACTTTTAGAGGGATTTAGCCAAGCATACTCCAGTGAGCTCACTATAGTACATTGAACAAAGTAAATAAAGGACAAGAGTTGGACAGGTGACCTCAACTCAAAAATTGCTGGACCCCAGAGAATTGCTCTTATTGTGAACACAGTTATTAACTTTGTATTAGCGAACAATATGCCAAGCAGTTTATAAAAGCTCAAGTTCATGCTGTCTCAAGCTAACATTTAAATCAAACAAACAGTATGGAAACAAATGTGCAATGATGAAAGATTTGAAAGGGAAAAAAAATAAGTGAATCAAGTATTTGAAGAAAAAATGTTTCTCTAGACCTGTGCTGTCCAATATAGTAGCCAGTAGCCACTTTGTGGATACCTCAAATTAGATGTGCTATGAGTATAAAATACACTCCAGATTTTGAAGACTTCATCCAAAAACTAATGTAAATCATTGCATCAAAAAAAAATTATATTGATTACACATTCAAATGATAATACTTTGGTTGGTTATATTAAACTAAAGAAAATGTATTATTCAGATTATCTTCACCTGTTTCTTTACACCTTTTTTGAGTGGCTACTAGAAAATCAGAATTGCGAGTCATGCATATTTATATTGAACAGCACTGCTCTAAATAGTAATCGTGTAAATCTCAATATCCAATTTGAGATTAAAAGGAAAACTATATGCCAGAAGGTTATATCATATAAAAAACATGTATTACTTTTTATGAGAATGAAATGACTTCTGTAAAATTTGCTCTCATAAGGAAGCTTGAGTAATTTTCATTTGACTGCGTTTCCTGGTATCATATTTTTAAAATGCAAAGTACATGGCATTCATTTTTGCTATAGAGCACAGTGTATTAAAACCAGGTGTTCCTGACCTCTTCTTGTCTAGGGACATTTTTTTCTTTTTTTTTTAACAAACTCAGCCTTTGTTTTTCTACTCACTCTCACCCTCATACCTCAATATTGATTTCTTTTTGTGCCTGTAAAGATAGAAAGTATAATATCCTTGATTAGAAAAGCATTCTCAATTCCATATTCTAAATATGGCCTCATTTGGGTTTCTCTTGCTAACTTGAAACAATTGCCTTAATTATGTTTCCCTGCCTTAGTGTTAGTACTACTCAAACATAGTAAGTGTTAATAACTGTTCATTTCTCTATAACTAGATTTACATTTTGTAAGTCTGTCCTGCCAAGAAAATATTTGTAGTCAGTTGGTTGACATTTAGATCAAGTCAGAGAGTTGAAAGTTATCACAAGGTTGTCCTGTACAAGAGATTCATTTGGGACCCATGTATAGAAATCAACCCAGAGCCATTCATTGGGGACTGGGGCAGAGTCATTAGTCATATTGGTTTGTAAGACATTATTTTGTCTGCTGTTATAGTTACAATGACAAAGCTTTTAAAGACTAAATACATAAGGGATGCAAAACAATGAATGATTTAGTTGTCTTTTCAATGTTTTGACCCAGTTAATTTAGTTATGATATTAATGAGTCCCTCACAATATGGTCACTATTTTGATGGGTATTGCACAAATCTCTAAACTTGGATAGAACTAATAAAGTCATAAGCAAATAGTTCAGTTAGAAAATTATGAACAAAAACTGACTTCACAAATGACACATACTTTCAATCAATAGTGTCACAAATAATAATTTTCAAAATGCAAAGATTTATCTACTAAAATCATGTTTACATTATTTATATAGATACAAGACAACCTTAATTTTTTCCAAATTTTAAGGGATGCAAAAAGATATGGTTGGTTATTATAAATTTTTAATCAGTTTTATAAATTTGATATATTAAATGTTTAGCTTTTTAGCTTCAATGTTTTAACTTTTACAATTATTCTTTCTTTAAGTACTAAAGTGCTTAAAAACTTTAGTTTAAGCTAAATCAACAGTTTGAGATCAACAATCTAAATTATAAAATTATGAAATAATTTGTTATTATTCTTTACAGACCTTGTTTTATGATCCAAAATGAATCTTGATTTAAAGTTAAATCTTAGGCATATGTTATCATAAGCCTTTACTTCTTTATTTTTAATGACACATGTAAGCAATATTTTGTTCAAAGATAAATAGACTTAATACAAAAGCAAGCTATATAAACATGCACTGGAGCTTAAGAAATAGTCCGTATTTAAAAGCAAAATATTCTCCTTTCATCTTGGATAAACATTCCCCTGAGCTTACATCACATAATAATTTAATTTTTTAATATTGAAATTAGCAAACTTCAAATTGAAATAAGGCAGATTTACTTTTAAACAAAGTGTTAGGAAGACAATCATTCACTAGAGCTGGATGGCAGCATCTGCATTTATTCAACATAAAACACAGCATTGGTATAAAAAATGAACCAGTTTGGCCTTTTGATGGCAAAAATATTAACCATATTAACTGACCAGTCTAAGTATATGGAAGGTATTTGATTGGCAATTTCATTCACAATCTATGACTACAAGAAAGGTGTAGAAGTTAATGTATATTCAATTCTGATGGACAAGAAGCTCCTACATTCAAGTTTGCACCTGTCTTCGTATTTCTGCTGTTTCCTTTTGTTTCCATGTCCATTACCCATATAAGTTTTTCTCTTAAAACCTATGCATTAGAAGCTGTAATTAAAATCACTGTGTGAGAGAGTAGCATTAGTTCTTGACGTGTCACTGGCCTCCCATGTGCATTGGCCCACATCTTTGTTCCAAGTGACAGATGGCAAGGGAATCTCTAGGCCCTTTTTCCAGCATCCATTGGGTATTCATTCCTTGCATTCTTGACTTCTTAGTAGAAACCTACCTTTAGGTACCACTAGATTTCAAACATTTAAAGGATGTGACGGTATGGGGAGATGGACTTAGATTTGTAGTTTGAAACAGCAATCTGCCAGGAAATAGCTAAACATTTCAGAGGACCTCTGGTCTCTGTGAATTGCTCAAACTGTGAAAGAGGGTAGCCATGCAATCATTCTTTTGTGCAATTCTCCATTCAGTTAGGCTGCATGACATCAGTCAACATTTATTAAACTGCTACAGGGAATACAAAAATTTATTGGATTGAGGTCTTTGCTCCCAAGGACATCACAATCTAGTGGGGAGGAAAGCAAATACAACTAACGTTATAATCCTGGGAAAGCCTGGGGCTGAGGAGGTGTTGAGAAAAGGCACTGCTGCCTGGTGCTGAAGATGGTCCCCACAGTGTGTCAGTAGACTGGGATCCTGAAAAAGATGAGACTCTGTCCCCCTTAAAAAGGCCTTGGAGAACAGAACAGTTGTTAAATGTTAACAAAGTGAGACAAAGTCTTAGCAACTAATGAAGTGAGCTATTTTAGGTCAGTTAAGATGATTTGATTGGACCAAAATGTAATCAATCCAATTCAGTTAAGTTTTTTTCATAAAGAAAACCTTTTGATTCACCTTTTATTATTTTTGTAACATCAATGCACTCTGTAATTAAAGATGAGGTAGGTTCACAAAGTATTTTCAAACTGAAGAAAGTAATTCTAAGAGAAAGCCAAGGCACCATATCCTATCAGTGAATAAGGAATAGAATAAATGGCATTTTGATATGTAAGTGAAGTTTAGGGGAACTGTTTAAGGGAATCATTTCAGCTTGCAATTTTCTTTTATGAACTAAAATATTTATTTATTCTCAAGTCACCATAGAAAAACCATAAACTTGTTTGAAAATGAAGAGGAGGTTATGGGAAAAGCTATTCTTATCTCTACCAATAAAAATAAATTGGGACTTAGTATGGCTAAAATAATGATTTCTAAATGCATTCAACTACAGACACAGTTCAAAATTGGACTGTTTGAGATAGATATTTTTATATCTTTCAGTTTCTGCAAAGTTACTATCCTACATGGTTGCCATTTACTGAGCCTCTCTTATATGAGGTTGTGAAGGATATAAATATGAGTAAGACATAGCCTCTGACCTCAGAGCTTATAGGATTTCTTCATGATATCTCCTGTTTCATCTTCCATAGCTCAATCAAAATCAAAAATTTTTCAGGTACTAAATTACCTTTCCATGCTCTCTGAAATCTGGCCTTCATCTGCTTCACCCTTGAGCCCTGCCACTCACCCCCACCCCAAATCCCACAACTAAATTGTTCTCCCGCTTGAAAATCTCTGACTGAGAACACAATTTGCTATTTCTTCTTTGATTTGTGCCTAAGGAAGAAAGCCACAGGCACAGCTCAGGTATGGAAGTTGGGCGATCAAGAAGTCCCTTCAGTCCCTTCAGAATGAGGTCAGAAAGGAGACAGAAGTGGGGGAGACACACAGACCTTATGAAGTAGGGTGTCAGGAGAAGACTGAAGAGGCCACGCCTTAATCCTGGGTTTCCTAGGGCCTCTCTGAACAAATTCCTCTTTGGTGTGCCTTTCTTCCTACGCTGAGAAAAATCTAAGAATGCTGAGATGAGATGCTTTCTCCAGGAAATAAGTAGGAGATTTGAATGAGGAAACTACAAGAAAATAAAAAAACATAAAACCTATTATCTTTGATTAAGCAACTTACCTAAGAGGACAAATCTCTCAGTTAATTGTAACTTTTTCTTTGCTTTTCCATTAGATATTTATGTGGACAAAGATCTTACTTTCTAGAATTCTGTTACCAAATTGAGACTATAGTTGCTCAGTATTTACATCTAAAAGTATCTACAGAAATATAATACCCTGGTCTTCAAAACTATAGGTAATTTAGGCCTATTCCACACATCTAGAGACATATTTATACTTTTAAAGTTGTGATTTTTATTGATTGTGTTTTGTCTTTGTTCTTTACACATTTTAGCCAATAGCTCAGTAAAACCTAGAACCAGAGACCTAGTCATCAGAATGCATGCTTATTAAGTGCAAGCCTATTACAAGAATTTTATGAGTATAGTGTGGGACTATATTTGATAGTGACCTTCATTGTCCATAAATGTTTATAGCACAGAACTCAGATATCATTTAACAGCCAGGAGAATGCCACTGCCTGGAGGTGGCATTGTTGTTAAGTCAGCACCAGATATGTTCATTACGTTAAGCACATATAATGAAAGAGAAAATTCTTTCAAGAAATACACATTAATGTGTGGATTCTTGGGTAACTATTGCATTTATAGTTTTTATATGAGCTCACTATTGCAATATAAAATGAAATACAGATCCTGGAAAAATAACATTTTCAGAAGAACTCACAAAATCACTGATGGTTAGCCATGTCTTCATTTTCTAGTATATTACATTCTATACCAGTGCTCTCAACAACATTTCCAGTTAATAAAATCGACTTTTATACCAGAAAATAGTATAAATCACTCCTAAAATCAAATAGGCCATGGCATGTATGAAAAATTTTAAGTGGCAGTTCTCCTGCCTGCCTGTGACTATGCAGGTGCCTCTTTTTCTTTCTCCTTTTCCTAATAAACCCATGCTTTTAAAATGTAAAAGAAAAAAATTCAAATATATTTTATCCCAGAAACATGGAAAGCTCATAGTCCTTCAACATTCAAAAATTATTTCAATGTAAATAATCTGAATGTTCAGATTCAAAAACAGTAAGTTTCTCTCATTGGTTAAAGGAGCATCCTTTGAAAAGGTTAAGACCAAAATAGACTTGGATAATTTGATTCCTAGAAAAATCTGTGAGTCTTTATACATGACAGTAAAAATAATAACTAAAGACGTTTCTATCACTGTAACTTAAACACTAAAAGAAAACAAGCATTCTCAATGCTTATCTGTAATAATGCCCACAAATTCATACACATGAAAATCAAATTACCAACTCCATGTCAAAATCTTCAATTCTAGTGAACAGCTGCGATTTATCCATGTTTAGATAATAGCATGAATATGTAAAAGTACCAAATGTACCTCTTGGTTTTTAGTCCCTGAATGATCACTAAATGTTCCATATTTCTCCTTCGGTAATAATGGAATTTCACTTGTCTTCCCATATTTGCCATCATGTAGTAGGTCTCTTGCCATGTTCCATAAACTAAACTATTGATATAACGCCACTGGCACTGTGCCCAGGAAACAAAGACTTGAAAGTGAGCAGAGTTATATAAAATAATTTGATTTGGTAATACTCTAAAGCATTTCATTTATTAGTATATACGTCTCTTAAAATACAGCTTTGCAAAAATCTATCTAAAAATATTTATTAAAAAATCTAGAGATTTTTAGGCACATCATTTTCTTTTAACAAGTAGAAAAACAGAAAACTATGTCCATTTTATAAAAGATCAGTTTAAAAACTCCTGAAAAACTAGGATTGTTAATTTAGGCATTGACCACCTGTGTATCATAAGTATATTTTTTCCTTAACCATAGAAATAGAACTTGAGGAAATCTGGATTCAAAGAGGCACAGAATAACTGAAAGCAAATAGTTGACCACCACTGTTAATTAGTTACTTACTAAAAATAACACTGAAAGATTTCTGAAGTTAGCGATAGAACCAATGGGGAAAAAATAATTGAATTTATAGAAATCTATTTTACACATATATTTTAACAGGTACCTCTACTGTATGCCTATATAGTTGCTATCTAGTTTTTTTTTTAAATGAACAAAATAATGTTCATTATGCATTACAAAAGCATTCCAAAGAAATGTAAGAAAAGGAGTGTGTCTGTAGATGACATGAGCCTTTTAGAAAAGGGAGAAAAGGGAAGGGCTTATCCACACACACCGATCAGAATGTGTATAGTTACCTTATTACACTGGCCAGGCTGAAGCAGACCGTGGTGTCACCTCAGAGTCTGAAGCCACTGCTCCAAGTCACAGTAGGAGCTTTTTGTCCAAGTGAAGATGGGATTGGTCCTTAGAAACTATCATTCAATAGTTGTCATTTTCAATGTATTGAAATTAGAGACTAATTCTGCAACTGTTCTAGGAGGAAGGAAAAAGCTTAAGCTTTACAAATTGAAGTTGGCTGCATCACAGATCTGTTGACAGTGCTAAAAGGCTCATTCCCCACCCTTGGTATTTTTTTTTTCTTTCTTGCCCCTATCCCTTTATTTATTGATTTATTTACTTTTTGGTAGGCTTGCTGTTCTCATTTTGTTGCAAGGCTGCATTTGAACTCATCTGACTGTGCAGTTTAACAAAGCCTTTTGACACCTGTATTCATTTGTTCTCAGCTGGTGAATGAGCAGCAAGAAAGCAGACCCCTCCTGAGCCCCTCCATCGATGACTTTCTCTGTGAAACCAAATCGGAGGCAATAGCAAGGCCAGTAACGTCCAACACAGCCGGTAATTCTTTCACTTTTAACTGAACCGCAAGCAGTGCTAATTTCCAATATAGTAAAACCCAAGTTTTCTTTTACAATACATTTTAAATGGAGAATAATGTTCGTGATCAAATGAAATTTTAAAACATATACCATTCAAGTTAAATCAATAAATCACTGTTCATTACATAAGAAACTGCAATATATGTTATCCAAACAATTTTGCTGTAGATTAGTGTAGAACTGTTAACAACCATTTTTCTCTGCATATTTTCACATTTACGTCGTTACATTTCAAGTCACATCACATTAGGAAATCTTTCAAACCCAAAAGCATCTATTTCATAATAAGGTTTTCCAAATTCTAGCTGGAAATATTTTGTATGGCAAAAGTCCAGTAAAATAAAAAAAAGTAGGCAGCCCCTGCAAGCAGATTCAAATGGCAATTGAAATGCCTTAGAGGCCGAGATATCAGAGTCAATTTCATTTTTTCTGTCCTATAAATGTGTAACTTCCTCCCTCTTGCAATGATTTATTTGAGCATTCTGGAATTAAACCTACCAGAACAGCAAACAAGACGCTTTATAGATAGTGGTGTACTAATAAGTATTCCTCCAAAGAGTGAGTGTAGGCTGCCACTACTGTGAACCCCACCTTCTCTGATGCCCTCTGCACTTTCCAATTCTCACTGATGTCAAAATTAAGTAACTGAGGAAGGGCCCACCTCAGGATGCAACATAAAATTTGATTCAAAAGCTACTTTTCACCTCCTGTACCACAGGCAGCCTTTCTGCATTGATTTCATTCAGTCAACATTCGCACTTGAAGGTGTTCAAATAAGGATGAATCAGAATGAATTCTTATTTGGAATCAATGAGCAAAGGTTATGTTGGTTGTGCAGAGAGAGTTTAAGAGGTAAAGAAGAAGATAATCACGTAGTCTTTTTGAATGTATTCCATTTCCCTGACATGGCCTCACTTTGCTGTTGCTTTGTGTATTTTCATTATACTTTTAACTAAGTGCAGGAAATTGTGGGGTAATTTAATGTTAAATATTATAATAACCAGAATAACTAACACAAGGTAGACATTCTTTTTGTGGGAGTCTAAACTACAGTCTCTGGGTTTAAACTTCATGAATTCAAACTCCAGCTCTGCCACATAGCAGCTCTGTCTCTTGGGCAAGTTGCTGAACTAAGAGTGTTTCCTCTTCTATCTAATAATAAGATGTGCATCACATAAATTACTTGAAAATATTTAATGAAATAATCTGTGTAAGTGCTTAATTTAAACCCATGTATGTCTTCTAAAAAAATTATTTATTTATGCATAATAGAGCCGGGGTACAGGCCAGGGATGCAGGGGAGGAGGGTGAGAGGATTCACCAGAGACAAAGTGGGGAGCAGAACAGGCAGAGTGACTGAAACACACTGCTGAGGGGAGCAGCAGGCGGGAGAGATAGGAGAGGAGAGCTAGGAGAGGTCTGCTGTGCCATGTGGGTTGCTCACTGGCCAGCCAGGGATCGAACTTGTTCTGCAGAGGCTGCGGATTGCTTCATAGTGAGGTGCTTAACCCCTTGAGCCACTAGGGAGGCCCCTAACCCCATGTATATTCTAACTGGTATTACCATTATTGTTAGATTACCAATAAGTGAACAACAGTTATCCCCATCATTTCCTTTTCCAAATGCATGAAATTTCTTTATATCACACCACAGCAATCATCTTCTAGATTCAACTATCACTTTGGGTGTCAAGCAAAAGAAAAAGTATTTGATGCACTTTAGACAGGAAGTTAAATGAGTTCAGATACTATCACATTCAGCCTCCATATCTGTGACACTATCCTCATCCCCCCAAAACTGGAGAGCTATCCCTAGAAAAGCAGAGGAATCTTGTGTATCTAATTACAGGAAAATTCACAAGAATAGGAGGCACTGAGAAATTATGATGTTCTAGGAAAAAACTACAAAGCAGACAGAATTCTCAGATCTTGATCACAATACTTCTATACTCTCCAGTTCTCACTGATGCTAAAACTAAGTCACTTAGGAAGAGGCCACCCTGATAGAGCATCATAAGATTTAATTCAAAAGCTACTTTTCACCTTGATTTTTGTCAAGCACATAAAAGAAAAATCTGTGAAATATTGGAGGAAAAAATTTTTTAAAATGTGTATTTACTTGAAATCCTAACACCTATGGTATTGCCTTCTATACTAATTTCCTAGGGCTGCCTGTCAAAATACCACACACAATGGATTCAGCAATAGAAGTGTATTGTCTCCTAATTCTGGAAGTCAGAAGCCTGAAATCAAGGTGTCAGCAGGCAGTCCTCCCTGTTCCGGGCCTCTCGCCTAGTTTCTAGTAGCTCCTTGGCTTGTGGCATCCTAGCTCCAGTCTCTGCATGACATTCTCTCTGCATGCATGTCTCCCTGTGCGTGTCTCTCTCTGTATTCAAACGTCTCCACCCTATAAAGACACCAGTCATATTGGTGGACAGGCCCACCTGCTCCACTATAACTCAACTAATTTCATCAACAAAATCCAATTTCCAAATAAAATCACATTTCATGATACTCAGTATTGGGACCTAAACATATGAGTTTTGGGGGGACAAAATTCTGACTCTAACAACCACCAAAGTAGTGTGATTGAGAAAAATGTCATTCTGAGATTATGTGGGCTTTTTACATCTCATACTCAGCATTCAGTGCCCCTAAGCCACATAGATTTTATCCCAGTGGGAGGCCTTTGTTTGATGCATGTTTATTAATCTTATATCTCAAGGCAGAAATGTAATGTTTTCTTAATTCCTAAGCAATATAGTTTCTATCTAAATTAACACAAAGTAAACAATACAGAAAATATTTATCTCTTCCAAAAGTGAAATAATGGGTTCTTTACCAGCCCTAAAAGAATTTATCAGTCTTCCATTTCATATGTTTTAAATTATAATTTCTTAACTATTTCAATGATTTTTTTTTTACTTTCTGCTATTTTTACATTAGCTTTTTGTCATCTGGTGATGATAATTTCAAGCTGATCAAATAAATTTATTTTCCATTTTTTGCCACTAACATCCTAAGTTATCTTTAATTCATCTGCAGTCTAACTAGACACCTTAACCCTTAACTCTCAAACTGTATACCTAGATTTGTGTGTTAACAGAAAAGAAAATGGAGTTTCCTTGATTTGCTTTTATCAGTCTACATAATCTAACATATTAAGTAGGCAGTTATTATGAAAGAAACATTTTTCATGGTTTAAAAAACATTAATCTCACTCTCTGCTATGGGACCTGTATATCTATTTATCAGACCCCTGCATATAAGGAAAGAGTTATACTTAACAAAGTTCTCAATCTATCACAGCCACTTAATTAAATATCTTAACTGCAAAATTCTTGTGATTTTTGCAAAATACATTTTTATATCATGAACCCAATGGCATCTCTTTTGAGAGCGCTTATAAATTTGAGAAGTAGCTTTAATTATTACACATTCCAAAAAAGACAAAAGTTGGTAGAATTATATAAGTTCAATGTATCTGTTTGATATGACTGTCAAAATCCTTCCTAAAAGACTTTGCTCTGTAGCCACTATAAGAAAAAAATACACCAGGATAGCTTACAAAATAGAGCAGAGAACCCAGCAGCAACCTGTGGCGCATTTTTAGGCTGCACCAGTCAGGGTTATCCCTGACTGTCTTCTCTGGCCTGTCCAAGTGAAGTTTTCCTTTCGAGAAATCCACTACAAATCTGAAGTTTATTATACTATAGTGGCATTCATAGCATTGTGCTTACCATCAAAGTATCAAGTTGGGGCTTCATAATACAATAGGTGTTACTCTAGCTCTTCAAGCATCCTCACCTCTCAGGGCCCAAGGAATCTAATATTCATAAACATCAGTGCTCTGAGGGGGCCTCCCAGTCAATAGGTTGTGTTTCCTTGAGACAGATGGAAAGTGATACTTAGGTAGCATAATACATCTTTCACCTTCAGGAAACTGCAGCAAATGACATTAGTGTATCCAAAAGGAAAGGAGTTTCTGGGATTACCAACTATTTAAGTTATGTCTCAGACTACCCAAACTGCTAAATATTGGGAACTAAACAAAAAATCACCAGCATTATAGCAATAAAATCGGTGCCTCCGGGTTCAGAAAAGTCTGGAAAAGGGTGGTGAAGAGCACAGACTCACCCCTGACTCTCCTGTGTCTGAATCCTGGTATGGACATGACCTACCAGCTATACTAGTTTCCTTTTGTTGTGCTAACAAATTAGTGCAAATTTAGTACCTTAAAACAACACAAATATATTTTTCATGCAAGTCAGCAGTCCTTAAATCCAGGTGTTGGCAAGGCTGTATTTCTTCTGGAATCTGTAGAGGACAATTTGTTTCTATGTTTAGATTCTGCTTTAAAGAGGAGTGTTGTTAGTAGAGTCTTTTGTAGTGGGAAATATGAATTTGAATTATAACTGTGTTTCTAGCACTATTCTGCAGGCTTTAGACAAAGCACTTCATTTAAACATTACCTATGAAGTAGAATTTTATCCTTGTTTTAGTTTCTGAGCCACAAACAAAGGCTTAGAGAGACTAAATCTGCCCAAAGTCACACAGCTAGTACATGACAGGGTGAGGATTTGAATCCAGAAAATCTAACCCACTGTCCTGTGCACCTTATTTTTTGCACAGTGGCTAGATCCCAAAGTGGGTTAGCTGAACTACAGTGAAGAAGCAGCACAAAATATTCGAGGGCCGAGGAAGCAGAGACCTGTTCAGAAGCCACTAAGCTGAGAATCACTTGTTGGTGCAGATGGAAATAAAGAAAATGACTTGTTTGAATCACAGAACTCGACAGCCCATAAACCTAGAGCAGACACCCATTCATGCTATCTTTGAATCCTCTGTATAGTAGCCTGACCCTTTATTTTTAAAAGCACGCATACGTATGCTCATACACATGCATGTTCACACATATACACACAGGCTTGTGCACACGTGAGCAACTGAAAGCATTTTATCTTCCTCAAGAAAGTGAAAGGCCGCATCATCCTTCTTATGCTTCTGAAATTTGGTGTCCAAGACTGTCTCGGCTTCAAAGCTTACCATTCAACCTCCAATCACCCCTTTCATTCACTGGGTAACAAACAGGCCCTTTTGTGTGTGCCAAGCATTTGTTTCACATTTGCTAGGAAAAGAACAAAGGAACAGAAAGCTCAGAACAAACACAGGAAGTGCTGAGGACAGTTTTGGAGGGGGGAGGAAACATTATTGAGTGAAGTTTCAATTTGCGATTCACTCTTTTAGTAATTCATTTATTCTGAATGGTGAGAAGCAGATATAGAATTAAATTAATACTCACCAGTTATTATTCTGTAACAAATGTACTTCCTATATACAAGTAGCTGATTCCTATATAATTTGCTTCTAAAAGAAGTCTAGGAGCAAGTGACTAATTCTTAATTGTTTTTACAATTAGTAAAAAGACATACATGGCATTCCAGAAACTGTTATCCACTTCCTTCCTTCTATTATAAGGAAATTACATTGGGCCTAGAATTCTTGCCAACGTAATAGTGGCCTGGAAAGTTCTGTTTAAACATTCAAAGGATATGAAGTGTGTGCCCTCCTAGCCTATTTTGGCTGTGTGCCATGCTTCAGTTTTAGATATCAAGTCAGGCAGCTCAGCTCTGAAAGCCACTTCTTTCCCCCACATTCAAGTACTTGCAAGCCACAAAACACTGCATATCTCAGAGCATCTTGGCATCGGAAAGCAGCTCCCATCTCCTCAAAAGGCTCAGATAAGATAAGCTGACACTTTCAGGTCTTTTATTATAAATTTACTTCATAGCATCCTCTGTAGGGCCAATATATTTGTCTCATCCTCCATTTTATTCCCGATGGTGTTTCTTCTTCCTGTCAGTGTATGGATCTGATTCTTGCCTGAAATAGACAGGGAAGCAAGGAAAATAGGAAGAGAACAACAAAAAAGAAAAGAAAAGCTTCACAAATGGACCACCAAAGAATAGAAATAAACACTTACTGAGTGCCCGTGATATACCTGGCAGAGCATATATTTAATTCACAAGTTAATCTTTTCCTTATACCTAAAAGACCAACTATTCATTTCTCATTTTTCATGAGCGAAAACAAACTCAGAGAGGTCAAGAGACTTATCCTGAGTCACACACTTAAGCAGTGGGAGAGTCTGGTCTATGCACTTCACCATCAACAGCCAGTCACTGTGGTTTTAATTGTAATCAGGAAACAAGATTATCGAGAGTAAAACTTGTCACCCTGTCCTGAGGGTGGCACATGGAGGCCACTTCATGAAGATGATACACGCAGTACTAAAGAAACCCTGTCCCCACGCTGAGTGAATGGAGGAAGCAAATGGAAGAAGGCTGGACATCAACAAAAATCCATTCCCTGCCGAGAGGAAAGCTGGGAGATGGCATTGTTGGACGTGGTGCCAGAGAGGTTTCAAACTCAGAGTTTCTCTGTCACATAGGTGTTTTTGCTTTGCTATTTGGGCCCTGGCCACCAAGCCAGTTCAGGACCCAGCCTCTCAGGCACCAGGCCTGGTAGAAGGCAGAGTTCAAGGTACTATCTCTAATTTGAATTTTCCATCTCTCACAAATGAGTTACTCAAACACAGGGCTACTTGCACTGTAAGAAAAAGAATTGAAGAGTAACTACACTTACCTTTGTAATTCTCATTTGCCTAGTTTGCATGTGAACAAATCATTACTTCTGCCTTATTAGATTTTTTTTTTAAGATTTATTTGTGCATACAAGAACTGGGGTGTAAGCCAGAGTTGAGGGGGAGGTGAGAGAATTCACCAGAGACAGTGTGAGGAGCAGAACAGGCAGATCTACTGAAATACACTGCTGAGGGGAGCAGCAGGCGAGACAGGAGAGGTCTGCTGCATCATGTGGGTAGCTCCCTGGTGGGCCGGGTTGGGGATCAAACTCTTGCTGCAGTGGCTGGTGATAGCTTGATAGAGCTGTGTCTTTAACCCCTATGCCACCAGGGAGACCCTGACTTATTAGATTATTTAGCACAATATAAATCAACCTGCTAGGAAGTCAAAGTAAAACCGGGTTATGGCTTGTTACATTGAAATTTAAATCTGCATATTAAACAGCAAAGACTTTGCCATGTGTACCTATTCATCAACTATAGATTATAAAATACCTCTCTAGCGTAAGCCCAAGCAGCAAGCCACTTTCTGATTAAACTGCTTAATTAAATAAAAGATGATTAACTGTATTTCTTTTTTTATTCAGTGTAATTTAGTAATTTAAAATTAAAAGACATAAACTTCTAGAAACTTCTGCAAGTATTCCTCATCAGTTTTGCAAGCATATATCTAAACATGACAGATTGTCTCTTTGGAAAAACTGCAATCTAAAACAAACCCCTAGAAATAAAGCAAAGCTATAAATTAAATAGTACCTGAACTCGGATTCAATTTTATCACTTCAATTTCATTCAAACTTTCCTCACTGAGGCTGATCTAAGTCCTGTTTTGCAGATTTGTACTGTGCCAAATAAAGGAGAACATGCAGCAAATTCCCAGTCTAAACACAAATGGTCTTTATGAATCAATTATGAGCTAACTAAATCTGATGCTTCTACACTGCAAACACAAAATCCTTCTGTACCCAGCTAAAATCAATTTTTTAAAAATAATTTCAGAACAGCAAGTGGGCTAGTGTTAACCTCTTCCATCTCTGATAGTATTGACCACAGGCTTAGATCTCCTTGACCTGAGTGAACCCGTCTCTCAAACCCAAACCAAAGCCAAGAAGTTGGAGGCTTCATCAAAAACCTCATCCCTCAAGAAAAAGGCTGATGGATCTGACCTCATCAGTGCAGATGCTGAGCAGAGAGCCCAGCCTCTCCGAGGCCCGGAGACATCCTCCTTAGATCTAGGTAAGGCAGTAGCTTGTGTCTGCTGCTGCTCCACCTGGGCATGACACAAGGAAGTTCCATAAATGACATTTAAGCCATGGGCAAAGGAGTAGAAAAGAATGATTCCATGTAAGAAACTGGGCAACATTACAATTCCTTTTGAGCTTTGACTACATGGCAATTGGGGGGCTCAATTTTGCATAATTGAGATGGATTCATTCATTCATTTATTCAGTTCATGTATATTTAGTTCCTATTTTGTGACAGGCACCATACAAAGCACTGTAGTTCAAATAAAAATAAGACATGAATCCTGGTCCCTCGGAGCATTCCGTCTAGAGGGAGGAGAGGGAGGACAAGACGAAGGGAGGAGGGCAGGAGGGGAAGATCAAAAATGATAAACTCTTGCCATTTTTAGTAACTTGGATGAAGCTGGAAGGGATAATGCAAGTGAAATAAACCAGAAGGAGAAAGATAAATACTGGATGGTGTCACTTATATGTGGAATATAGAGATCAGACAAAAACAAGCTGTAAAACCAACCCTTGAAAGCTCACCGTAGATCCATGGCTTTCAGAGCAGGAGGGGATGGGTTGAGAAAAATCTTTCTCTGGTGAATGTGTGGAGGAAGGAATAGAGGCAGGGAAGCCAATTTGGACATCCAAAGTAGTGGCAGAGGGGAGACAGATTTTTAAAAAAAAATTAAGAGGACTTGAGAATGTGTAAATGTGTATGTGCCAGCAAAGAAGACATAATAGAATGTACCAACTGTAATGAGGATAGAAGAGGGGAAAGAGAAAAATAAGTTCAGTTCTCAACCTGCTATATTTGAAGAAACTGTGAGACTTCTCTGTGGAGAAGTCCAATAGACTTTAATATATGTATATCTGTAGATATAAATATAGATATAATCTCCAGAACTCATGAAAGAAAGCTGAGTACAAAGTGGAGATTTCAAAGAGAGAATGAGGGGCTATCACAATCGTAGGTATAGATAAGATTACCCCACAATCCATGGTAGAGAAAAGGAAGAGAAGCAACACATTGTTCAAATCACTTGATACACAGGACTCCCTTTATCTACCATATCCCTATTTGGGACCTGTCTTTTTGGAGGAAAACTTTCTAACTACCTCCAATATTTCCTCACCATCAACATGTCTTGGATTTATTCAGTTGTGCAAAAGTATAGATGACATTTATAAATTGTGTAAGTCTATATCACTAAATAAATTACATATACGATAAATTTGTTTAAGGGTATACAACTAAATAAATTACAGTATACATTTGCAATAAACATGTACATGGACATTTCATGTCTCTGCTTTTGAGAAAGTGTCCTGAGAAGTGGTCATAAAAATATTTAGTTGAGAGAGCTTTGAATAACATCAACACCAAACCTCTTTTTCTAAATGGTAAAACTCTTCCCAAGTTTGTTTTAGTGACAATGAAAGAAAGCCCAGCCAATTATTTATCTCTAAGAATGAAGTCACAGGGAGAATACAGTTCTAGTGTTCTCTTGGCTGTCTCTGTTACCTCCTTTCTCATTATCCCTATTCAAAATCTCTTCCTTTGGTAAAAAAATTAGTCTAACCAAAAGCTGTGAAAAGTGATCTAGTTTCTCCCCACCTCTTTTTAACAGCAAAGCTCATGTCCTAAACAGAATTTCTTTCTAAAAACATGCCCAAAATGCCTCAACATCACCTCCATAGCTGGAGGCTGAGGTGGTCCATATACTCATTCTATACCAGATCCTGTGGATCTTATAGACTGGATGCAAAATGCCTATACCTCTTGAAATAAGTTCAGAGAAAGCAACTTGAGGTTTAACTGTGAAAGCAATCTGAGTTAGCAGATGTTATTTTATTTAACTGTATGTTTTAATTCATTTTCTTGTGACCTTAAAAATTGGTTTTGGGGTTTGAGCACATCCGTTGAGTAACATTCACTTATATAAGACTTCTTAATCTTAATCAATCTCTCTTCTCTCTACACCTTGTTTTTCCCTGGTTGCCCTTACTAACTCCTTCCTGTCTCTCTCCTTAATAGATATTCAAACGCAGTTGGAAAAATGGGATGATGTTAAGTTTCATGGAGATCGAAATGGCAAGGGACATCCAATGGCAGAGAGAAAATCATGCTCATCTAGAACTGGATCAAAAGAACTCTTATGGTAAGATATTTTAATATCAGAAAATAGTCATTTATGTATCTTCTGCAAACAGGACAGCCGATGAAGTTCTCTGCTGTTGACTCGAAGACTCGGAGTCTAAATGAATTTGCAATGCGGAGGCTGGGGAGAGCCATCAAGAGCAGCTCTGCCTTTCACTCTCCCAGCCCAAGCTTTTATTGAAGATAAGAACAAAGGAACAAGACAACAGCACGCAATTGTGTTTTTGCTTATACAGATTAATAAGTTACTGCTGAAAACAAGTTTTCCTGGTTAGTAGGGAAACACGCGCAGCAGCCAGCACATCCTCAGAGAACAGGAGTCAATTCTGGGAAGAAGTTCTGTTTGCAGAACTTACATCCTGAAACTCCATATGCAGAGTAAATAGCAATTCTCCAAAAACTCCAGCTCCCTTTAGGGCAGCAGGCTCCCGACATATATCCATTGTATGGGTATTTCTCTCATATACTGAAATAACCAAGAAGTCAATACATACACTGATGCTGTGTATAATCTGCTATATATTAATGTTAATTATCATGACATTTACAATTAATTATTTTTCTGAACTGCTGCCGGAGACCAACTTTCGGCAAAATGTCTTGTCAGGTGTCCCTGAAAGGATGAGATGGCCTAGGCAAAACTGTCTTTTTTTTTTTTTCATCATAAACTAATTTTATTTTTTTAATTTTTTTATTTAAATTTTATTTTTATATTCCCCATACAATTACAACCCCCTTATTTTGACCCCAATCCCGCCTTTCCCCTAAGGGCTGAAGGGAAGGGGAGGTGAGGCAGACACAAAACACTCTTATTTTGGTGCAAGCATCTCCTGCTGAGAGTCTCAGCAGGTCTTTATTTATACGTTTAAGGCAAGCAATGGGATTACATCATCATCATATGCATAGAAGCAAGATAAAAGAATCAGTACATTCCTTTCCCATAGACATTTTGTCGCCTACGTGTTCTTAAGAAAAGAAACGACCTTAAAAGTTAATAGATAATTAAAACTTAGACACATTATTTCAGCCTAAACATCTACCTAGGTCAGCTAACAGTCTTGGTACCGCCCTGTCACCAAGGCTACAATATCAGGAGACTCCTCTATCTATATGGCTTACAGCTAGAGACCAGTTGCTTTCTGGTAATCAATTATTAGAACTTTTTTCTACCTAGAAACTCCTAGCATAATCAACTCTCTGATTCATTACAAGGCTTCTTTACGGAACTTCCATATAAGGATTATTATGACCAGCTCTGGGTTGCTTATCAGACATGCCATTGCACAATAATTATTTCCCATTGTCAGGTGGGCCAAATTATTCAGTGTTTAATTTTTAGGTAAGTAATTTTCCATGCCATGTACTTATAATATTCTTATACATATAATTTATTGCCCAATGTATATTCCATGAGGTTTTTCTTTTTATGACCAAGAACAAAAAACAAAGGGATGTTTAATCTTCAGCCCCAAGGTGTGAGGCACAAGGAATCTTCAGCTCCACAGTATGAGGCTCTTTAAAAGTCTTTGGCCCCACGGTGTGAGGCCCTTTTCTTAGCTGCTTGCCAGTGTCTCTGACCTGGCTGAGGCAATAAGACACACACCCCCCCCCCCCCCCCCCCCCCCCGCAGCAAACTGCCAAATAGCCAGTAAGGATTCTGGCATGTTGATAATTCAGTATTTGTTGATAATTTTCTAAATGTGTAATTTTCTGAGGTGATCAATCAAAATAGATAATATGCATATATTTATGTATACATGTGTATTCAATATATTATATAAATTACAATTAAGTTTTTCTGTTATATCCTTTTCTGACCTTCTTAATCTCATACTGTCAGATAAAACACTGATTAAGAATAATCCTTAAGAAAATTTGGCCATCTGAGTCTTTCTGTACTTTTATTTATTTATTTTTTTTTACATGGTTGTTCATTTTTGTGCAAGTTTGACTTCTCCTCTCAGGTGTAATCCCCATAGAATTACCACCACCAAGATACCCATGAACTGTCACCAGTCTCTTGTGCTCAGGTGTTAACAATTAATTGATCACAACCAGTTTTCCATATTTTTTTTTATTTATTTTTTTTTAATAGAGGCATGTTTTTATTTATTTATTTATTTAGTTCTGTTTGTTTGTTTATACATGCACTGGGTAACAGTCAGAAGCGCAGGAGGGTAAGAGAATTCACCAGAGCCAGAGAAGGGAGCAGAGCAGGCAGAAGGACCGAAGTACACTGCCGAGGGGAGCAGCGGGCGGCAGGAGAGGTCTGCGCGCCATGTGGGACCCTCTTCCGGGGTCCGGGTGTTATAGGACAGGGAGAGGGGCAGCCCAAACCCTGCAAACCTGCCTATTCTAAATGGGTTCGGCCATCCGCCACATCAACACAAAACACATGAGACTAATGGGAAGGATCTTTAATAAAACTAGGAAACAATACAGGTAAGGCAAAGAGTCTAGTTTCTAAACGAAGCACCCAAAGTTACCCGTCCCCTCGTGGGTAAAAGTCCATCCATATGGGATCGGCCCAGAACAAGGCCCCAAAGCCTGCCACAAGTCTAAAGCATCTTCCAGTGGGGACCCACAGAAAAGGGTCAGAAACAACCGGACAAGCCCGGAAGAAAAAGAGCAAAATCAACATCAAGATAAAAGCTGCCATTGTCACCTCCCCACAGGTCTCACCCACATCTGTGTCACCCAGTCCACGACCAAAAGACAAGCGCAGTTTTTTTACGTGTCTCTAGGCTCCACGCGCCTCCTCCAGGTCTCCTGGCTCCATCCTGCTTCCTTTCTTAGTCTCTTCTTCAGCTTCTCCTCTTCCTGCTCAGCTCCACCCTCCCTTGGGAGGGGCAGGGAACCTCCCCCTTTCCTGGGGACCACCCTGTTACACGGGGAGCAGCCGGGGATTGAACCGGCACCGCAGAGGCGGCGGGCAGCTTCGCAACCCAGCGCTCAACCGCTGCGCCACCGGGGAGGCCCTTTCCATATTTTTTAAAGATTTGTTTATGCATATAAGAACTGAGGTGAAGGCCAGAGGTGCAGGGGGTGAGAGGATTCACCAGACAGAATGAGGAGCAGAACAAGCAGATCCACTGAAACCCACTGTAGAGGGGAGCTTTGGGTGAGACAGGAGAGGTCTGCTTCACCATGTGAGTCACCTTCCTGGCCAGGGATCAAACTCGAGCTGCAGTAGCTGTGGATTGCTTCATAATGCTGATGCTTAACCCCTTGAATCACCAGGGAGGCCCCAGTTTTCCCATATTTTTAAAGTGTCCTCCAGGGTGATATGTTTCAGTCCCCTGTTACCCTCCACATGTCTCCATTTGTTATGACATTTCATATTCTATATCAATATTTTTTAAAAGAGCAAATCAAAACTGAGACACTTTGTGAGAAACTCCCTTCCCCCAAAAATCCACTCTTTTTTTTCTACTATTCTACTATCACTATTCATTTTGGCTAGTATTTGATTTCTCCATTCAAGTGTAGTACCTATAATTCTCCCACCACATCACCTATGAACCATCACCAAAGTCCCTTGTGCTCTTCCCTCCCCTATATTGGCCCTTCTCCCTACCCTCTCCTGCTATATGCCTCAGATCTATGGTTTGCCTGCAAGAAAAACCATACTTTTTAATAAAACAGAACTTATTGTAGCATACTGCATTTATTTACTTTTTGAACATAATTGAACTGAATAGTAAATCAATCAGAGACGGTAACACCTAGCACATTGCAGCTACTTAAATTCTAAATGTGGTTATTATAATAAAAATACATAAAAGTTATCTTTGTCATCAAATTTCTGATGTAAATTCTGTTAAAATGACTCTGAATATTCCAAATCAGGTAGGTTTCCTGCCTGAGTTTCTAGCTGAGTTTGCTTTTCACTGTGCGTTAATTTCCTTCATTCATCTCCCCTAGGTCTTCAGAGCACAGATCTCAACCAGAACTCAGTGGTGGGAAAAGCGCCCTCAACTCTGAGTCAGCTTCAGAATTGGAATTAGTGCCTCCAACACAGGTAACTGAATTTATTCTTCAATGAACCATATTTCCTGATAGATAATTTATATCGTAAATATTTTATTTAAATTTTGCACAAAAAGGCTTTAAGTTTTTTTCTGCATTTTGTATTTTATGTGCTTTCTCGGTAGGTAACACTCAATGTTTTAAATAATTATATCTATTTTATCAAATATACATATATTTGACTGGAAATGTGTAAATGAATTCTCTGTATACTTAGCACTTTTTCTTTGTTCTACCATTTACTGTTCCATTATTTTGCAAGACAAAATCTGTTCTACTCCAATATTAGCACTATTTATATAACAGAACACAAAAAAGAGGAAATTACATCTTCAGTATTCATTCACATTTGTATCTTGTGAAACAAAGGATTTATACATTAGGATCCTGATTATCATATGAAAATAAATTTTATGCTAAGGAATAAATACAGTATTAGCAGTAGTGATAATACCAAGAGGTACCGTTCTATGAGTTCTCATCTATGAATTAGGAATTTAGCTATGTGTTTTCCATGTTTTATCTAATGCTCAAGTAATTCTGTGAATTAGTATTAGCTTCATTTTAAAGATCCTTTAAAGAATGTAGGTAAAGGGGCCTCCCTGGTGGCACAAGGGCTTAAGCACCGCACTATGAAGCAATCCGCAGCCTCTGCAGCACAAGTTCAATCCCTGGCTGGCCAGGGAGCAACCCACATGGTGCAGCAGACCTCTCCTGCCTTGCCCTCTGCTCCCCTCAACAGTGTGTTTCAGTCAGTCTGCCTGTTCTGTTCCCCACTCTGTCTCTGGTGGATCCTCTCACCCCCCACATCTCTGGTCAGTATCCCAGCTGTTGTATGCATAAATAAATAAATCTTTAAAAAAAAAAAAAGAATGTAGGTAAAGTCACATGTCCTTTTTCTGGGTCACTCAACTAATCACTGCTGGAAACAGGGTGTGAATCAGACCTGTCTATCCACTGGACAGAACCTGGACTCTAGGGTAACTGTCATGTCTGTAAATTAGTTATTTCCTAGGGTTCAACTTTGCCAAAAAAGGCCAATCCATCAGAGTCTTTTAATGCTCTCACACTCTTTATAAAACCCTGATATAACACCAGAAAGATCTCTTTAGAAATGTATGCTGCAATCTAGTTGAAAATAAGTGGGATGAAATAAGCAAGAGACACTGAGTTTACTACCTACCTAAGATATTTAAATTAAGAAGGGAAATGTGTTGTCTTCAGTGAAATTGAAATAAAGGAGTGATTATAATAGCAAATATTACTGAATGCTATGATAAGGCTGTCTCATATATGTAAGCTAATTGATCCTAACAAATGACTCTTTGAGATAAATTTATTTTTTGTCCCCATTTTATAGACAAGGAAATTAAGGCATTATGAGAAAAGAAAGCTGTCTACACACTCTTAACTAAGTGTCAGAGAGAGGCCAGGACACAGAGAGATAGAGAGGGAATGTTGAAGAAAAATGAAGTCATCTAGAAAACTTTCTAGACCACTAATAGTACCCCACACACACACCTCATGCGCCACCAAGAGAGGGGTGAACATTACTGTTCCCAGAATTCTGCTGATCAGGGAGTCAATTGAATTCCAGAACAAATAACCCTGTAAAGCTTACTGAATTGCAAGTGGAGCTTAAAAACGTATTTTCTTCCTCTGTGTTAGTCTAAATGTGCCCTTTAAGAAAGCAAATTGATAATTTATTAGAGAAACATTTCTTGATAGGTACACTAGAGATTTGGATTTGGTACTGTTTCATAAACCCAAGTCCTTGAACCTAATGTAGCAATAGAACATTTGTTTCTGCATCGGGGGAGACTTGGAACAGGTGGGCTGTTTTATGTGGAGCTGGAGGGGTAGAGGATCAGCTCGGGTCCCTGGTTGCCGTGGAGACCCACGATGCATCTATCTTATTATTCCAGTGATTGCTACTCTCCTGCTGATGGTGTGATTTCATCCCACCACATCGTCTTGCCACTTACCCACTGGTGTGCCTTCAAGCAAACACAATGTGCTTTGGAAAATTTATATGAGCTTCCCACTATTGTCCTCCAGCACATCATTTCCAAAGCACTGTGACAGTTCTCTGTGTAGACAGGTCATCATGAATCCTTTTAGAGTGTTACCAATTATTTTTAAAGAATTTACCCCTTAATTTGGTGTTGTTTTTTTTTTTTTTTTGAAACCCCGAATGTTTACTTCTCAAGATTTTCCTAAACTGAAGAAATTCACAATCACTTAATTTTAATTCCAACCTATGGTTATATTAGGAAAATTTCATGAATTTGAGATTTACTCATTTAAACTACCAAGTCATTCCAATGGAGCAACAACAACAAAAAAGATTGATTAATCTACTTGTAATAAAAGACAATAAAATGTGTTTACTGTTAGCAGCATACTGCTTTTTAAAAATGATCCCTCTACAAAGGTAAGGTGATAAAGGTGGTATAAAAATTCAACTTAAAATTAACTAGCACACTATTCAAGTGAAAAATTTCAGCTCTCCAGAACATGTCACTGCTCCACCATCATTCAGATGGTTCATGGAAAAACCAGAGTAATGTTTTCCTCCCTCTCAGGCCAACATAAAGTATCTTAGACTCAACAGGCAGGAGCTATTTACAAGATTAGTTTAAAAATCATATTTCACAAAAATTTTTAAAATCATATTTCAGAATCAGAGGGAGTGGAAGTTCAAAATGAGAAGAATTCATATGTTAACTCATTTTTTCTAGATGTGGAAAAGGAAAAACAATCTACTCTTTTCAATGGCCTTTGAATATGGTGTGATTTCATCCACCACAAATCAGAGTGTTCAGGAGAGTATAATAAATCATATATCTCATATAATCTCTATATATTTAAGAAAAGATTCTTGACACTTATGCAAACTGTGTAATTAGTATTCCCTGACGTTAACTGCTTAAAGAAATTGTACAACCTGGAAAATGTTAAAATGTGCAGATGAAGGAAAATACTAAAGATGATGATGTAAAATTAACCTTATCCATTCATGGATTGAGGTAGTGGCAAGGCAAATAATAATAACATAAAAATCCCACTTACAAAGAATGATGATGCAAGCATTTCTAGTCAAGTTTGGGCTCTGGCAGAGGAGCTCCAATATAGGCTTTAGCTAACCTAAGTTGGACAGCGAGAGAATGTACAGTAGCCAGTCTCTCCAAATCATGTGCAATTCCATCCAATTGACAATATCCCAAACCAGAACAATTTAATTCTGTGATATAAGTGCAGATATGTTTTCTGAATTTTTTGAGTAATGTGAAAGGAAATTTCTTTTAATAACTCATTTACTATACACTTACTATGTATGATATGAAATATTTCTATTACTTAATACTTACAACCACATAGGGAACTGATATTATTCCCAGATCTCAGATGAAAAATGCATCTTAGAGAGCAGAATTACGTTTCCCAAAATGACACAGCTAAGGAAGAGAGAAACCAGGACTCTCATCATATCCATCAACTTCTAAAACCCTTGTTCTTAACAACAGACAATCTCTTATCAGTTACATCAATCTTATCCACCTGCAATAACTCACAGAACATCTATTTCCCTTCTCATTACAAGCCCTGGTTATTACCTACTTTTGTAAATTTAAAGATTAATCATGCTTGGGCCTCCCCTCGGGGCGCAGGAGGTTGAGCGCCACGCTGTGAAGCTGTCCACAGCCTCTGCAGCGCTGGTTTGATTCTGGCTGGCTGGCAGGCAAGGGTCCCTCATGGCACAGCGGACCTCTCCTGTTGTGCCCTCTGCTCCCCTCAGCAGTATATTTCTTCAGTCTGCTTGTTCTGTTCCCCACTCTGTATCTGGTGAATCCTCTCACCCTCCCACACATCTGGCCTGTACCCCGTTTCTTGTATAAATAAATAAATAAATCTTTAAAGATTAAAAAAGATTTTTTAAATCTTTAATTAATCTTTAAAAAAAGATTAATCACTGATGCAGAAATATTATAAGATAAAGAAGTATTGTCATTTGATCTGAGGCCATACACAATCTTGTGCCTTTCCCCTCCCCAATTCATTCTCAAACTTACTCTTAGAAATGCTGATGATTTCCATTTCAGTCAACAAATGACTGCATGTCTCTTATCTATAAAGTCATAAGTGAAGCAGTAAAAAATTAGAAAGATAACTACAATTATAAGAAGATTCAAAACCTGCATAACTAATGGACACTAGACAGTCCACTTCCTGCCTTGCATAAAGCTCTAGGTATTTGCTCCTGACACATAATGTACAGATTTATGTGGGTACCTTCAATGATAAATATCTGTTGATTGATTAAGATAAAAGAAATCCCGGTCATCTCAATGAGGCAGGTGTTTAATGATCTATAATGGTATAAGAACCTAACTCATCTCCATTAACCACAAACAAAAGTGTTCTAAACACAGATATTTTAATGAATTTCTACAGTCACACTCGATAAGTGCTAACCAAAAAGATGATAATAACAAAAGCCAAGTTTTATTGCACCCTTAATATGTACTGAATATTTTGTGCATGTACTTACATTAATTTTTGTACTTAATTCTTATTTGGACTCACTGAGTGAATATACACTTTGCAGATGAAAATACTGAGTATTACAGAGATTAAATAATTAAGTAATTTGTCCAAGATCACTAGTTAGTAGCAAATAGTAAATCACAATTTGACTTCAGCAGTCTGACTCGAGATTTTGCTTTTAGTAACATTTATATTGTCACCCGAGATCTGCTTGCTGTAACACTTTTTTCTTTTCTGTAGTGAAGCCGATCTCTTTTCCCCTTCAATTTTTTTTCTTTGAAAAGTACTGTGTTTTGGTGGGAGACCACTAGCAATAATATGAAGGTAATTGAATGAGAAAATATGAACGGCATTGAGATTAGTTGACAGAAGTGTGCTAGGACAACCACATCCACAAATACAGTAATTTTCAAATCATAATTTCTATCACAGCTATAACTTTAA